ATTGCTATTACAATAGCAGAAATATATTTTGGACGGGCCTTGTCAAAAGTGAGCGGCACTTTAACTAATGGCACTCAACTTTAATTTTTACAATCTAAGTTGATTTATATAACGTGCTACATTTTGATGGTAAAATATAACCCTTTAAACCAGGGGTGTCATACTCAACTCCTGGAGGGCTGAAGCCTTGCACAGTTAGTTCCAACCCTGTTTCAACACCATTACCTGTAGGTTTCAAACAAGCCTGAAGGACTCAATTAGTTTGATCAGGTGTTTAATTAGGGTTGGAACTAAACTGTGCAGAGCTGTGGCCCTTTTGGAACTGAGTTTGACACCCGTGTTAAACAATGGCTGTTAAGTATTCAAACTAAATGAATGCAGCAGGTGAAATAAACAGATCTTTATATCCTGATGCATTTTCAAATCCGTTTATCAGCTTGACATTTTTAGAAAATTTTTGCAGAGCTACCCAGTATATATTAAAGATCAGGAAACAAAACAAAAGCGTTACACAGCCCCATAAATGTCAAACTTGTGTATAACTAAATCACAATGGCCTACTGCTGAAATGCTGAATTTATTAACATGTCAAAACCTAGTGATTTAAGAGCAATACCGACTTAGCTAAAATTAATTCATTTGACTAGTTTATTAGAGCATAGATAGATAGATAGATGGATAGATGGATGGATAGATCATACAACAGTACCTTGGACAGCAGTGCCACTCTAAAGCTTTAGAGCAAAGTCAAAAAAAAAATTATTGAAAGTTGACTTTCTACCATAGGCTTCGATGATAAGCATTTCTTATTTGCTTTATTCGATGCACAGTAGGAAAGTCTGCATGTAGTCATTGGTTTAATTCTCTCCTGGATCAGAGCGAGATTTGTGCTACCAAATACAGTGCTGCGTGCAAAAAACTTGCGTCAGTCAGGTGAATTAAAGGTCTTAAATGCTCAGGATGTCAATCAAATTATTAAATTCACCATTAATAAAATAATAGGCTATTTCATTATTTTAGATGACTGGTTAGAAAAACCATGTATAAAATAAGTTCATTAAATAACGGAGTTATTCACTTCTCTTCCAGAGACTGCTCTATGGTTTAAACCCTTTTAAAACTATTGTTAGACCAGGCAGCACTAATATGGTTTTATTTTCCACTCATGCTGCAACAGCTCTTTGAAACCTTACACAACACATCAGTAGTTGCCTTTAATTCAATGTAAAACGCTCCTTGTTCAATTAAACTTAATAGCTGAACTTTCAAGTTAATAAAAACAAAAGCAACCAAGTGACTAAACACTGCTATGCTGCTCTCATATAGTGGTGCTGCATATAGGTACATGTTACAGCACCTTTTTAGAGGTCATATGTTGCGCGCCTCTGGCTAAATTCAATTTGGAGGGGAAATGACAAATGTAACAATTGAAAATGTTTGCAGGGGGAATAAAAGTATTTAAGATTTCTGAACTAAACATAAAATTAAACTATGATAATGCAACAATAGTGCACTTGTATTACAATAGCAGAAATATGTTTTGGATGGGCCTTGTCAAAAGTGAGCGGGCACTTAACTTTAATTTTTACAATCTATAAGTTGATTATATAACATTATACATTTTGATGGTAAAATATAACCCTTTAAACCAGGGGTGTCAACTAGATTCCTGGAGGGCTGAAGCCCTCCACAGTTTAGTTCCAACCCTGCTCCAACACACTTACCTGTAGGTTTCAAACAAGCCTGAAGGACTAAATTAGTTTGATCAGGTGTGTTTAATTAGGGTTGGAAATAAACTGAGGAGCTGCGGCCCTTTTGGAACTGAGTTTGACACCTGTTTTAAACAATGGCTGTTAAGTATTCAAACATTAAATAATGAATGCAGCAGGTGAAATAAACGTGAAAATGCATCAGGATTTAAAGCACTATTTATCAGCTTGACATTTTAAAAATATTTTTTTTTTGCATAGGTACCCAGTATATAAAAGATCAGGGAACAAAACAACACCTATTACACAGCCCCATAAATGTCAAACTTGTGTATAACTGAATCATATAATGGCCTACTGCTGAAATGCTGAAAATTGCTCATTAACATGTCAAAACCTAGTGATTTTAAGAGCAATACCGACTTAGCTAAAATTGATTCATTTGACTAGTTTATTAGAGCATATATAGACTAAGAAATCATACAACAGTACCTTGGACAGCAGGGTTTAATTATTGAAAGTTGACTTTCTACCATGGGCTTTATTTGCTTTATTCGATGCGCTGCAGGAAAAAGTCTCAGTGCATGTAGTCATTGGTTTAATTCTCTCCTGGATCAGAGCGAGATTTGTGCTACCAAATACAGTGCTGCATGCAATAAACTTGCATTAGTCAGGTGAATGAAATGTCCCAATTGCTTCATGTCAATCAAATTATTAAACTCTTATCATTTATAAAATAGGCTTTTTCATTATTTTAGATGACTGGTTGGACAAAATAAACCATGTATAAAATAAGTCAATGAAATAACTGAGTTATGAGTTATTCACTTCTCTTCCAGAGACTGCTCTATGGTTTAAACCCTTTTTAAACTATTGTCTGACCTGTATAATTTTCTTATTAAATGAAGTGTTTACTTGCGGATGTCTGGCTAGCATGCTTCTGAGCCAGCTGTGGTAGCTTGGTAACAGCCCTGACATCAACACGCATAATCTATCAGCACAGTTCAGCACGGTTGTCTAACCATGCTTAGAATTCCAGGCTGAGAACAGTTTGTAATTGTGCTACATGGTTCCAGGCTCAGTCGAGAAACCACTAACTGTACTGAAGGGTTCGTACAACAGTTTGGCACGATAGTGGGAAAGCAGTTATTTCATTGTTAAAAAAAGTTAAGCAGATGACCTTTTTATAGCATCTTTGATAGAATATTAGACTATTTCAAACCTGTTTTTTCTAATTTAGCATTAAGCATCTTTTTAAAGAGGCTAAGTGACTGCTATTGCAAATTTTTAGGAACCTTCTATAAGTAGGGATTAATTAAACAATCAAACTATTCTTTGATTATCTTAATTACCCAGCATTTTGAATGGTGAATCTACTATTTCTGGACTGGAATATTGCCCTGACCCCTACACGTAACGACAAGGGTTTCTTTTTTTTTGCTTTTAAATGAGTTTAGATGAAGCTTTGCTCTATAGAAAGGGGAGGAAAAAATGGCAATTTAATCTTAAAGATTAACCCTAACTCTTTGCTCACCTCTGTCCTGTCTAACCCTAACCCTAACCCAACCAAAAGGAGTTTGATTATATGTATATTTTAATGTCAGATCATCTATTATCTTTCATATGCATCATGGTTTCATTTGTATCAACATCTTGGTCATCTGGATTTCCTTAGTGCAGTCTTTGAAAACTCTTAACAGTTTAACCATCCTTTTCCCCCCTCTCTCTCTCTCTTCGAACACTAGCCTTATCTTGGATCGATGTCATCTACTTGGATGCCATGTCACTTGAATAATCATTTTTTTTATTCCCATCCACACACCAATGATGGATCTTTCACCCAGATTGTTCAATGTTCAGTTCTTTCTTGCATGGTCTTAACCAGCATTTTGAATCCTCTTCATCTACTTTTTTGTAGACCAAAATATACCACTCTTACATGTAACACTAACCGCAATGGTTTCTTAACCAATCCTAAACAACTTCTCAAGCAACAAATCATTTTATAAAGCATAGAAGGAAAATTGACTAAACCATGTCTACCCTTAAGTCAAACCTAATTGTGTGTGTGTGTGTGTGTGTGTGTAAATAACAACCTTCCCTCAAACTTAACCCTAAAACCAGATGTTTTGTAACTGAAAAACATAGAACATAAAACTATTTTAACACACAACCCTAAACAAAATCTGGTCAATTCTTAAGTTGAGAACATTACCCCTACTGAACTCTACCCCTATTATACAGAATTAGTAGTTAATTATTAATATAATATATTATTATAATATATAAATAATAAT